AAGACGGTGCGGTCGGTGGTTACGATGTCATGAAAGTACACTTACAAGCTGATGATTAAAGGTCCAGTGGAGAAATCTGACGCTTTGGCTTGTCTTACAGCAACTGTTAAAGAACTTCAGTGTTCGACGATAGCGAGAAGATTATACGCTTAAAGTGGAGTCACTCGTTATTCCCAGGCTATTTTAGTGGCTGCACTGAAAGTGAGGAACGAGTTGGGGTGCTAGGAAGGATGCGAGTGCTGTCTGGAGGTGCAAGTGAATGTAGCTGTGTAATGAATGGGTGGGTGGAATGGGTGAAGGAGAGGTAGAACAATGCCGGAAATAGTAAAGGGATATCACGGAGAAAACAGTATTTAAAGAAGAAAGGGCGAGTGAAAGGGAGACAAAAAACGTGTGTGAAGACACACACACACACACAAATATATACAGTGAAATAAAGAAACGCAATAGAGAGCTTAAGGGACAGAGGATAATTTAGAATGTTAAAAAGTAACAAAATAATAGATACTATCAAGGGGAGGTCGTTAAAAAAATTATACACCCACGCACGCACGCACGCCACACACACAGAGTGAGAGAGATTAAGGAGAAAGTTAGAGAGACTGTGAGGAAGAGCGGGGTGGGGACAATTATTATTGAAGGTCAACCAGAAGTATAATCAGAAGTACAATTACAGCAGCATTTCAATTTAAGTTAGGTTAGAAATTTGAAGATATATACATGAAGTGTCGAGTTCTTTACGAGGGAAAGCTAACGGATACATTTTAAATAAAAACAGGTGTGCGACAGGTATGTCTTTTTTCGCCTCTCTTATTTTACCTCGCTATAAACTGGATTATGAAGACAGTAACTGATAACACCAAGAATGAAATTAAGTGGACCCCTGCAAAACAGCTTGATGATCTGGACTTCGCTGATGATATTTCTCCTTTGTCCCATTCACGGAATCAGATGCAAGCTAAATTAAATATACTTGATGCGAGATCACAACAGCTTGGTCTGAAAATCCATAAAACAAAGACAAAGATAATGATAATAAATTAGGCATATAGTAATGTGGTTTCTCTTAATGGCACCCCACTTGAGGACGTGGAGTCGTACACCTATTTGGGCAGTAATGTAGATAAAGATGGGTGAACTGACGGAGATATTAAAATAAGAATGCAAAAGGCAAGAGGAGCTTTCATAGTACTAGGGAATTTGTGGAGGTCAAAAGAAATTAAAAGAAATACTAAACTTAAAATTTTTAATTCTAATGTCAAATCTGTACTTTTGTATGGAGCGGAAACACAGAGAACAACTAAGGCAATTACTTATACACTACTAACATTAATTACCTGGTGCCTGCACAGAGTAGAGGGAAAGGGTATGACATAATACCTAATGTAGAGCTTTGGGAGAAAACTAAATAGGCTTCAGTGGAACAAGAGGTGAAGAAAAGACACTGGCGTTGAATAGGATACACATTAGGAAAACAGGAGAACAGCATAAATAGAATGTCTTTGCATTAGAACTCACAGGAGCATAAGAATAAAAAAGGCCAACAAACACATTGAGAAGAGAGCTGGAGAAGGAAGTTATAAAGATGGAGAGGACATGGGGAGAGCTCAATGTAATAGCGAAGGATAAAACTACTTGGCGGGAGCTGGTTGAGGGCCTATGCTCCATTGGGGAATAGAACGTTTGCAGAAAAAGAAGTTATTAGAAGGTCTTTGCTTCAAATATGCATCGAGGCGAAATTATATCATTTACGCGGGCTTCCAGGTCAAACGCAACATTTTCATGCATACTAGAAAAATGTTTCGGAAGAAAATGCGGCTAGTGTTTTATTGATTGCATCCCCATTTTAGTGGCTAATTTGTCTAAACATGTTCTTGCCACCAAATGAGAAGGAATACTCCACAACGGTAGCATGCACAGCAGGAGGCAGCCGATCTTCTTCCTGTCGACAATTTTTTCAGCCTATAAACCCCTAGACAATCAGGGGTGGACTAACTGGGGTCATGACTCCCAAGCATCGAGATTCTATTACTGCCCTGATAGGACAAGACGTTGCAGATATTGAAACAGTTAATGAGGTTATGGTGTTGTCTTCGCTAGTGCAAGGTAGCAAATAACCGCCTACCTGCAGGAATCAGAGAGATATAATGACAGCTGGTGCGCGGGCAGATGTTAATCTGGCAAAGTTGACTTTCAGAGACTTCAAAGTTCTTTCCCCTCAGGAATTCAGTCCAGTCTACCGAGGCTTATTTCCCCACATCATTCCAGTGTGTCCAGAGCCAGCTCGAAGTTTTCTGCGCAACATCACTCAGTTCATTCGGTGGCCGCTTAACCGTGTCGTCTGGCAAGCTCACGTGATTCAGGAAATTGTAGGCGCAGTTGGCCACTGTGCTCTCTTTTCGGGAAAAACTATTTGTTTTTGATTTGTTTACATCAGCTGAACGAAATAATATCATACTCATTAATTAGAGAACATATATATGTATTATTATACATACAGAAAACTGAGGACCTTTATCAGGCATATTGTACCTATAGTTAGTGGGCGATGCAGTTAGCATCACACCTGTCGCCTTGACTTCATCATTCTGTATCTGGTAGCCACTCAAAGCTGGATCAATCTGCGATCCAGGTCAGTTATGAAAAAAATTCCAGTTTCTTCAGCACATAAACCCACGACCTTTCGATCTGCAAGCGAGCTTCTAGCAGCATATATATTTTTACATTAGCTGAATGAGATGACACGACATTCATAGTTACAGAACATATAAACAAGATATAAGCAGACAAATGCCGTCTCTTCCCCTCTGTCTCCAGTGACTGTGCCCACAAGATCAATGCTACTGGTGCTGACCGTCTACGCTGTTTGTGAGAACATCCGAGGGAGTTCGGCAAAGGTATCAGACAACCCTACATCCAACATAGTAAGTGCTCATTCTTCTTTGGGTAAAACAGTATGCATTGTTCATTGATATGTTCAAAGAAAATGTAATAAATCATAGAATCCACATTTGTAATACTGTAAAGGGATTTTACATGTAATCTTGTGTGTTGAAAATCACAGCTAAGATCAAAACCAATTTTTTTTTTTTTTTTTTTTATTTAAAATAAATAGGGGGGAAAAGGAAACAGACAAACTACATGTCACTTTAAAAAATATACAAGCGTGAGTGTGTTGAGAACGTAGGAACATTTAGGAATATTATAACAGCAATAAAGAATGGATGCTAAGTGTAACACAAAATGTGACCAAAACATCATTAGAGGGAATGGAAAACACGCATACAAGCATAACCGAAGGTTTCAACCAGTCTTTTATCTATGTGGAACACAATTTAGCGCTCCAGAAATTTATTTCTTATTAACTTTGACCAACTTATCATTATCTTTTCTTCTTCTGGTTTTATAAATATCTTTCCTTACTGAGACTAATTATATGTTTATACCCATTTGCATGTCTTCTTTCCTATGTCTGTTAGCCTAACTGTTTTTTGTACTATTTTTGGAATCCTATTTTGTATTAAAAAGGGAAGAATGAATCTCATTTGTATGGCTGTTTCACGAAATATAATGACGTCTGGTACTTTTAAAATCCTATACTAATGAATGGTATTTTTCTATAGGTAACTATTGTGAAAAGATTACAGAAGAAAGGTAAATAAAATCTATCTATTAAAACTCATTTATTTTAATGTTGTCTTTTGTTTTCTAGTACCGTAAAGTGTATATATATATATATATATATATATATATATATATATATATATATATATATATATATATATATATATATATATATATTATGGCTGTACCGAATAATGATTTCCACTAGTAGGCCGAATATGAATAGCTAGACCAACTATTCGGCCTAATACGAATACGAATAGTGAATCATCATCATCAGGTGCTTTGCCGACTGGCATGGGCGATTATGCCTCGCCACAATCTGCGATCTTCTGCAGCATGCATTAGTTCGTGGGCTGACACAACTCCATGCCATGCAACAAGACTGTCAAGAATCTTCTCTCGTTGTCTTCCTCCATCCCTTCTTCCACATATCTTTCCAGTGGTCACCACATGTTCCATTTTCCCTCATCTTATACCACGACCGAAAAATGATAATTGTCTCCTTCTGATGTTTGGGAGTAGTTGTCTTCGGGTTCCCGCCTCTAGCAAAATCTCTTGGTTATTTTTTGTTTTTACTGTACAAGGTATTTTAAGCACTGTTCTGTAAAACCGCATCTCTGAGGCCTCAGGAAATCGTTTGGCCTGCCTACCGATTATCCAAGACTTACAGCCGTATGTTAAAACTGGATGTATGTAGCAAGCAAGAATGCTTTTTCTAACCTTCAATGACAAAGATATATTGCATAAGATGTTCTTCATTTTATAAAGTACAGTTTTTGCCTGCCCTATTCTCTTATTTCAGTAATGCATCTTCCATCTGATGTTATCCATGTGCTCAGATACTTAAATTTCTGTACTTGTCCCAAAATAAAACCATTGACTTTTATTTACACAAATAGGAATAATTATTTTCTTTGATACCACCATTACTTCTGTCTTCCCACTATTCAAACTGAGGCCCATTCTTCCACTTTCGTGTATAAAATAGATCTAAAAAGAAAACATCCATAATGTCAAATGTACGCTGAAATTTTACTTCACAAAATGTAGTACAGAATATTAAACATTTAAAAACATTTCATGTTTTGCATCCTTCAGTCAGTCAGTCCGTGGTAACTAATACATAGGAATGAAAGTATTCTTAGTTTTATAGGAAGTAACTAATCTTGTAAATTGTCACTGACAGCTTAGTTAATCCATGAAAGCGGCATTAGCTGTCAACATTAAGGCAGCTTCTTGTCTCACTGAATGTGTTTCCAGCTGTACTAAACAGGCGTTCACTTGGTACGCTCGGGCGTGGTGCACAAAGATAACGCTTTACAGTATGAACCAAGGTGGGAAATCTTGAAATGTTTATTTTCTACCAGTGCAGAAACGGATGTAAGGTAACCACTATTCGTATTCGGCCCAACCGCAACTATTCGGCCGAAAACCGAATAGTTATTAGGTCCTCCACTATTCGGTATCGAAGCGAATACGAAGCGAATATTCGGTACAGCCCTAATATGTACAGCCCTAATATATATATATATATATATATATATATATATATATATATATATATATATAATATATATATATATGTGTGTGTGTGTGTGTGTGTAAATATATGTATACTTACATACACACACTATCGTAAGCCTGATATACTAGTGTTCTGCTTATATTTATTTCAAATCCGCTTGTTTCATTGGCATGCACCATCTGCATCGTATAATGCATTCCGAAACACTATACTATATTTCTAGACATTATTAACATTCGGAGTAAGACAGAGGTGTGTTGTATCACTAGATGTTTATCACGTACGTCGATAGTTCATGTAAGGATGCATCTCATATAGAGTATATTTTCTTCTATCCTATACCAATGCCAGACATGGTAACTCGCAACAAATCAGAAAAGTCAACAATCAGAATTAGTAATTATGTGAATGAGATGTGTGATAGGAGCTGCAGGAGTGACTAGAAGAGATAAAATCAATCAGCAGTAAGGTCAACTGAAAACAAGTCGGTACAATATCAGCTCTAACTTACAAACAAAGACATCGAATCAAATTGTTTACACACTCAAAGACTGTGCATTGTGACGACATACCATGGTCTTCGGAAGATGGGATTCAAGTTTCCATATTTTCTACGATAGGGCCCTGGAGTAAAATTAGTTTATTTGTCCTGAGACGACCATGAGGTAGACCAAGAAAAGGATTGAAAGATAATATAAACTCTACAACATCAGGGTGTATCTATGGTCAAGGTGGCCAGAAGAACAAAAAGCAGAAAACTATAACTCCCTCGACAACCGAACCGGTAAATTAGGAAGTAAGGAAAGAGAAGAAAAATAAGAATTGTATGGCATAAAAAGTGTTCTGATGTCATTTGTCCAGCAGTTAAAAGAGTCAACCATAGCAAGACACTCGTCATTTGTATCACACAAAGACAGACATCAAAAGTTGAGACAAAATAACTTTTAACACACTTCCCTACCACCCCCTCCCACCTCCTGGTATACATTTCTTTGTATAGTTGTGTGTGTGCGTGCGTGCGCGAGTGCGTGCGTACGTGTGTGTGTGTATGTGTAGAGGCATGGTGTAGTGGCAAGACGCTCGCAGGCAGACCCGAAGGTCGTGGGTTTGGGTCATGACGAGGCCAGATGTGTTTCAAAAGTAACCTCGACACCCAGCCTTGAGTGGGTTTAAAGTGCAGTCCTAGTAAAAGTAAATTCGGCTGGAGTGATGCAGACCACATCACCCACCAAAGTGCTGATTAGTCTATAAAATGTAGGTCTAGCCCTATACACCCAAAATGCCTGAACGCGTCAAGATATTCCTTTACTGTGCATTTTTATTTAACCACATTAATATCGACAAACAAAATAATCCTCAACAAATGAGGGTTGTGTTCGCCACCAACCAGTCGACGTTTTTTTTTTTTTTTTTGGGGGGGGGGGGGGAATGGGCGGGGGGGGGGGGGGTGGCTTTAGGTTCAGGTAAATTTCCCCAAACAATGAAGGCCACTTTTCATTCACACGTTAGTTGGGCTGGTCGACCTTCCTGAAGATTACAAGTGTGTCCCGCTCTATCGTTTGCGGTCTGTGTTGTCTTGCATTTACGTTTTCATTCCAAGAAAGAGAATGCCTGTGGCATAGGTTGCAGCACTCTCCCGGAAAAGGGGAGGGGGGGGGGGAGGTGGTGATGTTAGGGCCAGTTGCTCCATGTTTTCGGAGCGTTAAAAGCACTGGCGTACTGAAATATACAACAAATGAAATCAACGGCATCGCGGAACATACCCGTAATCTTGTGCCAAGGTGACAGGTCTAGAAACTACCATCAGAAGTGACCTAGTGTGTATATGGGCGGGTGGGGGGAGGGAGGGTTAACGTTACCTGTACCTTTTTTTATTTGTAAAAATTTTTTTTTTTTTTAACATTTTCCAGCACTAGTTTTAGAATGGTCGATTAACTGTTAATCCTGTGTGGTCCGCGAATTATTTCATAAATATTCCGCTAGCTGTTAATCGGGAAACTATTTCACATTAGCCTTTTCCTGTTTCTTCCCATCTCTGATTTTCATTAACAGCCAATTCGCATGTTAACATTTGTTTTTTCCGCACAACGTCCCTTAGGAGCTTCGTGGTGTCTGCGGCATTCACTCATCATTTCAGATCATGTGGAATCAATGTGATAAAGAAGCACACAACCATAGTGTCAACTGAAGCGACAAGTGTAGCTAGTTACAAATAGTAATGAAGCTTCACATGTAATTTGTGTACACACGGGGACATAGTGGCGCTGTAGGAATGCTTCTATGGTTATTTGCAACTCTAAGCATTGGATTTTAAAATATTTAGCAAACAACTTGCTCTTTGAATTACTAATCGGGAAAAACTTCTTTGAAAAAAAAAAAAAAAAAAAAAACCTTGATTTTATAAGTGTGAGTGTGTGTGTGTGTGTGTATGTGTCTGTGTGAATATATATATATATATATATATATATATATATATATATATATATGCGTGTGTATGTGTGTGTGTGTGTGTGTAGCCTATTACTACGCACCTACACAAAGCCCACACCTCCTCCTTTACAAAATGTTTAAAGAGGCTTGATTCGCCTTTATGACTATATTTCATTTTTGTAAGCGTGTCGGGCCTCTGACTATAGATATAAGACATAAATAATGACTGAGATTAGTAAGTGCGATGTAATGGTTTAGAGTAGCTCGGAAATGAGGGACAGAGGACATTTCACAATGATGATAATCATCCTTATCATCATCATCATCATCACCATTAGGTGCCTTGTTGACTGGCGTAGGCGGTCATGCCTCTCTACAATCTGCGATCTCCTGCAGCATGTATCAGTTCGTGTGCTGACACACCTCCATACCAATGCAACAAAACTTTCAAGAATCTTCTCTCGTCTTCCTTTATCTCTGCTTGTATGAAGTAACTCATTAACATGGGATACTTGTGCCATTAAGGACATTTAAAAACAAACAAAAAATAAGGTCACGTGCTCCCCACACTTTGCAAATTCGTGCAGTAATCGACATCTGTTAAAACCTGTCAGTTCAAGAGAAATTTATAGATCATAGTATGTCAGCTGCTTTCAATCGCATTGTCAGTTCACCATCGATATTGTCGCAGAATAAATCCTTGGGTTACTGGTAACTGCTTACTATGTGATCAGGGCATTCTCTGTCAGTTATATGCAATAATCTTGATGATTGTATATCGACGGAAGAATTATGGGTACGCTGTCATGGCGTTCTTAAGTGAAATAATCCAAACCATGTTCTGCGGTGATTTCAATGTTAGAGGAAGACGATTTTGGGGTTGGGGGGGGAGGGGGGGGGGTAACTTTCACTCTAATACACAAGAGGAAAACGTACAGAAGGCACTGGCACATACATGTGTTTTATGTCTAAATAATGAAACAACTAATGGACTAGCCCTACGCCCTGGTCATACAGACAGTGTTATTGACTTGGCTCTTGTTACTCAAAACTCTGGCTTCCATATGTCAATGGAATGTCCTTGGCAATCATTGCATTGACCTCCTTCCTTGTGTAGTGCTGCTAAAGAAATGCAAACTACTAACCCACCTGCTACAAAATAACCTTTTATATAAAATTACTGACAGTAACATTACTATCAGAATCAGAAGAGCAGCAGCTAAATTCATCCGATATAAGAAACTTAGATCACAACATCTATGGTGGAATATGGATGTGGACAATGCTGGCAAGAAAGAACGAACTAACGAACTTTATTTTCAAACGGTCACAAATTTGGCACGCAGGCCCGTCTTACATTCACCCCTTCCATTCAACCATCTTTCGCACAGCAGTTGTATTTTATTAATAAAGCATGTTATGATAATATGATCATATGCATATTATGAAAACAATAAAAGAAAACAAAAGCATGAGTTGTAAAGTGCATGCAAAAATCCGCGCGTGCATACACACACCCATATACACACTCTCACCAACTCACTTACACACATATACATGCATGCATACATACATACAGGCATACATACAGGCATGCACAGAGACACACACATGCACACACGGACACTTCCACAGACGCAGACTCACACACTGATACACACACCCACATAAACACACACACGCAGACAATAGGCAGGTAGAGACAGGTAGACAGAGAATGACAAAAAGCGCGGAAGACAGGCAGCGCCTACGAGCTTAATACCTTGATACAAACCAGGAAAGAAGCAACAATTCATTTCTAAACTGTAGCGGGTAGTGAAAACCTGAACCTTTTATGGCGACTACAGTAACCTATGACTGATATACAACGACAGTAAAGCTTGCCTGAAATTTGATGGTAGGTGATACAGAACGGATGAAAGCAAAGGCCTAATACTTTTGACCGATATTTGCAGCAAACAAACCAGACTGAAATTGAAGTCAAATTGTTGCGTATTCTTTACAGTACGTTGCAGAACGTACCCTAGCGTTTTTTGGCTGTGGTTGTTTTACTAGGCAAATGTTACGTTCAGTAGTTTGCTATTACCCACTGAACGTTCAGCTCTCGGTACCTTTGTCGAAACCAATGCAAGACACACAAAATTTAGTAACAAGGAAAATAACTCATAAATTAGAACAAACAGGTAGACGACCATAAGCATGGAAGGATATAGACCGAATAGGGATATGTGGAGTAATGCTGCCATTTTTGCTCACTATGTCTATAAGGGTTTCCATGCAAGAGTGGAAACATGTGCTGTGATGCTAGATTTGAAACATACTTACAATAAGGTGCCCTTTGAAAACCAAAAAAAACTGAAAATCAACAAAGAAACAGAGAAGCCTATGCATTTACCACCAACAGCCTGTCAATAGAGGCCATTCCTGTGACAAAGAACCCAGAGTAGCTAAACAATCTTGAATTTATCAATGCACGTTTGCTCAGCATCTGAGTGAGCATGCTACGGAATATCAGGGCGGTGTACAGATGGAAATAGTAGCGACATCTGATGCAGCACGCAGCGTTTCGTAAAATGAGCTTCATATGTGTCCCAGGGCATGCTGGTGTGAAAGTTAACGATAGCAGAAGCTCTGGCTGGCGGTGCGGCTATCAGGATTGGGTCATCTATAGACATGAGATACATCATCACTGCCATACGATAGACAAAACACTGTGAGGCTTTCAGTTCGTGAAAAAAACAATGATTTTTCACTGAACAGACTGCATTTTCTGTGTGTACCAGTTGGAGCTGCGTGACAGGAAAACCACGCAGGAGCCACCCATCGATGCATCGACCATAACAGAATGTGAGCTGTTAGCCTGAAACCGCTTAGAGACATACCCAGGAGGAGATGGCGGAGCATTTATTGTCAAGTCCGATGTACGATAAAGGTGATCTGTAAAATGAATAATGAACAATATCTTACGCCTGTCCAGTCAACAGCATTCTGTATCCAAGTATTTCTTGGTCTGTCTCTTGCCAGATGCAGAGCTAAGTTGTATCGTTTTAGAGTGGGTCTGCAGATTGTTTTGTATATCCGTGCCAAAACAGTTTCCGTCTTGCCATTGTCATTGGAAGAGATTCTTCGGCTACTCAGCCATTGTGTTGGATTACTATATGACGTACTTAATCATTTCTGATGTCATCTCTCAATGATAAACCGAGGATCTTTTAAAGAGATCTAATTTCCATTGTTTGTGTTTTCTTTATCAAGTTCAGATGTTCAGATCTCCGTTTCGGATCTATAGATGCATTTATGTACGCATGTATGTATGTTGTGTGTATATGTGTGTGTATGTATGTGGGTTTGTGTGTAAGTGGGGGGGGGGGGGGACGTTTGCATGTGGGTGTGTGGGTGGGCGCTCGAGGGCGTGCATGCATTTTACCACATATGCTTTTTTTTTATTTTTCATAATATGCATATTATTATATGAAAATAACATGCTTCATTGATAAAATACAATTGCTGTGTGAAAGATGTTCATCTGAAAGGGCCGAATGTAAGACGGGCCTGCGTGCCCAATTTATGACATTTGAAAATAAAATGGGTTTCTTTGTTTGATCCTTCGTTCGTTCATTCGTTAGTTCGACCTAGCTGATTTGAAACGTATCCCTAATACTAGAAATTGTAATTAGATGTATATATTTTTCAACGGAACTGATTATAATTATGTATCTCTGTTTTGTTTTTTAATTTATTATTTTTTCTTCGACAGGCCAAGTCAGACCTAGAAGATCCTATCTTGATAATAGAATAGATACATTGCCCTCTGAACCTGTATATTTCTCTCAACGAAACCACGACAGCTTCTCAGCCCACGAACTAGGTCGCAACTACCACCAGCATTACGACGTTGACACAACGCAAGATGCACTTCTCGGTTTACTAAATCCTTTCGACTCAAAAGCTAGCCAGAAAGAGCATCAACATCTCCCAACCTCCGACCATCGGAAACATTACAAGCCCCTGGACCTATCTAGTTTTCCGTTACCAGAAGAGGATGACCTCGGTCAAGACGCCGGCTTTGATTTCTCTAGTCTTCTCCCGCCCACATTTGACGTCACAGCCCCGGTGTCAGAAAGGGCTAAACAGGAAGCAGACACTATCATGGACGATTTCCTCAACTTTTTGGATCTCAAAGGTAGGCTCAATAACTATAGCAGCGAAAATCAATTGTGCAATGATTTTCCCTTTTATGTCTGTACATCAAGCGTTTTGGCTCTCGGGCTAACAAACACAGCTTTACGGTAAAGTAAACAGCTCATGGGGAGTCGCCGTGGTGTAGGGGTTAGATGTTCGCCTGTGGATTGTAAGGTCGTAAGACTGGGTCCTGACGGAGCCAGATCTTTTTAAAAATGAAATTGGTTCCTAGGTCTACCCACTCTTGAATGAATGCCAGTTGCAGCCCTGGAAAGTAAAAGCGACCGGCGTGATGATGAGCATATCAGTCACCAAGTGCAGATGGGTCTATACAAAATAGGTCTAACCCTATATGCCCAAAACGCGTAAAGGCGTGGTAAAGGGCTTTGCACTCTTCTTTTTGAACAGCAGAAGAATTCTGATTTTATTCCACGATAGGCCCCCCTGGATAGAAAGTCAGTCATAATTATGATAAAATGTTGTGTCAAGTAAGGACGTTTTTTTTATTTATGCAAATGTATCTCTGGCTATGCCGCTAGCTGATTGTTTGTTTGTTAGTTTATTATAAAAGATAAATCAGAACTAAGTGGAAAACGTGATCAGCGTGACATGGGACATTACCGGGACATCCCAGGAATGTCGCTGGTAGCTAGTATTCTATGAATTCACACACATGTTCAGGCCATTATTATTTTTATTTTTTTTTAAATATCTATGTAACCCAAAACAACAGCACCGGCATTCAAACGCGTTAACCTGTAAATGGATTTGTAAATATTGCATGGCAGGCGTGCTGAAACTGAGGGTACAGGAACATAGGTCTTCCAAAAAGATTTTAGGGGAGAAATCTGGTAATGGAGCTTACTCTTCCCTCGCTCCCGAGCATCGCATCCTTAGTATTTTTGTTGTGTCGGCTCCACTGTCATGCACCCCCTTTTTAGGTTTTTAATTAAAAAAAAAAAATATTCCATGGCATCCATCGAATCCTGGAAGCCTTTGCCAATATATATATTCTCCGCATGTAAAAAGGGTTAGAACAAACGAGCATAGTCGAATAGATAATAAAGTTAACAAGTACTTATCCCACTCAAAGTGTTTGACATTTAATTATACTATCACCAAAATTCACTTTAGATCCTTCTATGCCATAGTGTTTTAAATGACTTTCTCTAATTGTTTTTTAAACAATTGTTCATGTGTGCTTTTCCTGCGGCAACATCTTTATGGAATTACGGAATCGAGACAGTTATTTTTATGTTCAAGCACATATACACATGCAAACATAATATCTGAATATAGTGCATGTAATGCTCGTCTCCCCATTAGTACATCACCAGTTGTAGGTCAACTCCATACATAAGTTGGTTGGACTAGTCTACCGTGGTTGAGGTAATGGGTGTCGCAGTCTTGTTTTTGTTCGGTGTTTACGATTTTATTTTCAAGAAAGAGACCGCCTGTGACATAGCTTTTGTCACTTTCTTGTGGGGTTGTGTGTTAGACCCAGTATCTAAATCTCTAAAAAGCTCTGGCATAGTGAAATATACAACACGCGGTGTGATCGCGAGTGTGGAATTATCCATGTGACCTTGTGAGACAGTCAGATCGATAGGCTGACCTATCAATAGTAAGCTAATCAGTTGGTCGTCCAATCAGAAGCAAGCTAGTGTGTAGCGGTGGGGTAATGTTGAGACGAGCGTTAAATTTACCCTGAAAACATAATCACGTTTCCCCCTTTAGTGGGTTGTTAGGATCCATAAGTATGAGCACCAAGAGTTTCGGGGGTGGGGGAGGGCTGTTTGATGAGTGGTCTCGAGACATGGTGTCTGCTTCCAGTGCTAGAGGTCCCGGGTTCAAGCCCCAATGAAGGTTTGGATTTTTTCCCCTGAACGTCTAGTAATTTTTTTCTGGTCACTGGGTAGTAAGATCGGACCCCCTTGTGTATTGTTGCACACGTAAAACAAAGCTTGACAGTTGGAAATCGAAAAGAGTAGCCTAACGGCGCTGCCCGAGTAAAATGTGATTTAAAAATCTACCCCACGTATTTCGGGATCCTCGCTTGTGCCACAGAGCCTGTGTACTGTGCTCAGTTTTTTCAGACTATTTGAGTTAGAAGTAGAACACAGCACTTGTGGGTTACTATCTTGTGAGCTGATCCGTTCTTCAAACCATACCAAACCAAAAAACAGATTATAAACAGCATATTCATACTAACTCTGTTTTACCAGAATTGGATGTTATCAAAGGCTAGCCTAAATAAAACTAACACCTTTGAAATTAGGTCAATAATAAAATCAATAAAATTCCCTAACTTAACTATCTGAGGTAAAGTTAGAAATGGCATTATCAGACAGACTGTTGAAACGATGTGGCAAATTCATTGAAAAACAGGAGATCAGTTGGTTTGGTCATCTAGTATGAATGAATGCAGACAGAGAGAGAGCAACTACCAACGCATGCACTACACGTGAAAAGATCTGATGTGATAGCAAGAGATCGCCATAGGAGAAGATGGTTTAATTAAAGAGCTCCTACATTGACACGGAATGACAATAGACATTGCTGCCCATCAAGCGATGGATTTCGAACGTGTCCTCCCATCCGTCGCAGAATTATAAGTTGATGATGATGAGTATGTTGATTCAAAGCAGTAGCCTTCATCTGAAAGAAATGTTCTGGTGGCTGCGGTAGCCACTGCCCTCTGGTACAAATATCTTGGGTTTAAATCTGCTTTGGTGAGATTTTTTGAAAGACATAAGGCTTTGGTTTCGAACTAGCCTCGATGTGGTGCCATGCATTGAAATTTCAAGGTAGGGCTCCAGAAGTGATGTTAACCACATCACTCACCGTGTAACGATTCAGTCAATCAACTGATCCTTTGCTGAACATCGCTGTTTGTACGGACACATGAACGTCTCTCTTTCTCTAGCCAGTTCTCCGGCCCTATGTGCTTTCATAGCCAATGTATCTTCAATGTCCAGTGTAAGCCTTTGTGGAGAACGGTGTCTGCCTCGTTTTCTGGAAATTGCACCCTCCATCACCGTTATATCCAGACCACCGTAGCGCTGACATGACCAAAATACTCAGCTTTTGTATCGGAATGCTGTTTGCGATGAGCCAATTCTCCTTAATGTTCAGCTTATGCAGTATATCTGCGTTTCTCTCCTTCTTTGACTACTGTATTCTAAAAATTGTATATAACATGTGTGTAAAATTAGACCAGTGGTTCTCAACATTTCTAATACACTTCCTCGTGTTGGGGCGACTCCTGAATACACTTCCTCGTGTTGGGGCGACTCCTGAATACAGTTCCTCGTGTTGGGGCGACTCCTGAATACACTTCCTCGTGTTGGGGCGACTACTGAATACACTTCCTCGTGTTGTAATGACACCCCCCCCCCCCAACTATACAGTTAGTTTCTTGCTACTTCACAACTCATTTCAATATATGTTTTCCGACGGTCTTAGGCGACCATTGTGAAAGTGTTGAACAACCCATAAAAGGGTCGTGACCCACAGGCTGAGAACCGCTGCATTAGACTATACAAGTTTGTGTCTACCATGATATTGCGTACGCATCAATGGATAGAGATAGATCAGATCATTTAGTTGATTTTTTTTTAATTCTTGGAATTCGATTTAAATGTATGTTCATGCAGTCTTTTGTAAGCATATTTCTGATGCAATATTTCTTTGTCGTATATGTTTTACGAAATAATTGCATTGGTGCCTAGAAATTACGCTATTTAGCAGCGTTACGCAAAGAAGAAAATGCACTTCAAGCATCTTATCTATTTCCAAACAAATTGATAAATCCTCTTTTGTCTAATAATTGCAACGTTTATAAAATTGTGTCTACCCTTTTTTTTTTTTTTTTTATTGTTTTACTATAATCGTTTTAACGTTTTGTTATTTGACTTAGTTTGTAATAACAAAAAGCGAACCATGTTGCTTTTAATTAACCAATTACCATTTAAACATTGCTGCTCCAAAGACTGTTGGAACGTGAAATAACAGCCGCTTTCAATTGAAAGAATAGTATTTTGGGGTATACATGATACGTGTACTAAACAAACTGTGAAGGAAAAATAAAATTACTCATTTAATTTGTCTTCTTCTTCTTTTGTCGTCTCTCTGAAACCAGGTTGTAGCTCAGAGTCGTGGTTTTCTGTATTTGTCCCATGCTTCTCTGGTGGCTTGGGTAAAGGATTTGTTCATCCTTTTGCAAATTTCAGCTTCATTATTTATCTATATCTTTCTTGGTCTTCCTCTCGTCTTCCTCTCACCTAATCTAACCTAAAGTTTCAACGAAATTTTCTGAGTCATGTGCCCGGATGATCCTCATCTAAATAGTGACACATTGTGTCACCGGCTATTTGTGTGATATCCTGGTGGGGTTAAACGTCAGCCAGATTGTGGAGTTATTAAGGAGGAGATCGGATCACTTATGGATGTGTCCGAATATTCAGAACGATAATCCAAACTAATCACCAATCACACCTATGATATCACAAATGTAATATGTATGATAAGGCGACAAAGTAATAATATAAATAGCATATGTTCGTCTTTAAACTGAACAAAAGCGCATATCCAGAAATCGTCCGCATTTTCCGCCATAATGTTCTGTGACATTTAATCCAAAAATATTGTAAAAATCTTTTAAATAAACTAGCTTACACTCCTCTATAATTTAGAAAACCCGAAAACAGCCATAAATAATTAAAGAAGCTTTTTCTTGTTATTATGTTCAACTCCTAGAATGCCTCACGGCGTCAGGGCGGAAAGAGTTCTCTGGAACGGGCCCTTCTGTTCGCTTTGTAGATAATAGTTTTCAGTGTTCTTCTAGTCGTTTCGCGAGATCTCTTCATTTTCTACCAACACTAAATCACTTTGGGTTTGCTAGAGCAGCTGCAGTGTTTTCAAACTTCCTAGAAAGTCAAACTTGAACTAGACTATTACATTCAGAATAGTTTAACACAACTTCCACTTTAGAATGTCCGA